TTCGGGCGAGGAGAGGACAAGCTGCTGACTGGTGTCTATAAAACCACCCATCCAAAAAAAGGAAAAACACATGTAACAGGGCAGCAGACACCGCAGCGACAGAATTACCTTCTGAAGTGCTGAAAGTGGAAACAGAACATGCTTAAAGTGCAATCACATTCGTAAATGAATGGCTTCTGGTTTTTGAAATGTAAATTACATCATAATTTCTCCTAAGCTGAGGGATAACCTGGCCGATCTTCGACCCGCTTTTCTCCAGATTGTCGCTACGTTTCTCCATTTTCTGTTATATCTTCTATTATTTTCTTCTCTTTTCTTTCTTACCGCTATTTTTATTTTTATTCTTCGTGACAGGAGTTCACTTTGGCCGGAAGTCAAGTTCAGCATTCGCTTCAATGATATCTGGCGCCATCTAGCGTCGTGAATGGGTATAATGTCTAGACCCCGAATATAAGACGACCCCCATTTTTTCAGTCTTATTTCAATGCAAAGAACACCGTCTTATATTCGGGCCAAATCGGTAGTACCAAATCACTACTTTTAGGTACAAAAGATCTATATGCTTTTTGACACCACATTCACATTGGAAGGTATGAGATATGTATCCATATTTGAAATCGGCCCGATTCCAATCTGGAAATATTCAAATCCATATGATGGTTTTATTTTTTTTTCTCTATTTACGCTGCCATATCCAAATGGTGCCACTTGAGAGCAAAACATCTGAATTATGCCAGCACCTGTGATGTTTCCCTCTGGCGTCTATTTGAGATGAGTCGTTGACATGGACAGATGAAGTAAAAGTCTATTAAGTGAGGCAGGCCGCTATTTGAGGATAAGCGTATATCATATATGTGCCCAGCAACACTCTCAGGATTGCTGTGTTCCTTTCTCATTGGTCCTGACTGTCGAATGGAAATGTTGACATTCGTTTTTGCCACATTTTAGCTCACAATCTCGAGTCTCGACCATGATTTTTTTTTTTTTTTAGGTTTTGTCCAATGAAACCAAGGCAAACTGAGAACGCATTATCACATAACATGCAACACTGTGCCTTGTGGACAAGCTGGTAATGGACCAACCAAGCAACAAACCATACGCAGCCATGGCCATGCTGGACACACAAAAGACAGCCAAACTCTCCACATGGTTATTAATAAGCCATGTCCAAAACAAGGTGCAAACAACTGCATTAACTGCTGATTATGGCAACGGGAGCTGATTATTCGCAGAAAAAAAAAAAAAAAAAAGCCGCTCATTTAGGTCTGTGACAATTCGTACTGATGTAGCACAGATAGTCAATCGACAAGCACACACAGTGAGTTAGAAGCTTGGAGCAGCTTTGGCTGATGTGCGCTTGTGTTTTAAGCAAAAACGCGAAGATGCAACAGCACAATTGATTCAAATAAATAATAATAATAATAATAAATGAAAAAGCAATACAGCCAGTTGAAAGCCAGAGACGCGAATGTTTCGGGATGGGCCCGGCGACTGCTTGCCTTCCACTGAGCACTGACGTCCCATGTGGTAATGAGCGCCGTTGTGCATCTGAAGTTCCCTGCTTGGCTCAGGGAAGGTGTGCAATGCGGCAGAAGGTGGCAGTGACGAGCCATGGTGTGTCTTTGTATGCACCTTAAGGTAAGAGGCAGTGGAGAAACCTGCGACCGGGAAGAGCACAAACAAGGCAGTCGTTTGCAAACCGGAGGCCTTGACAGAGACGGGGGTGGCGGGGGGGCTATGCTCAGCCCAAGATCACTTGGATTGGTTTGACCACAATAAAAGTAGTGACTGGACAGAACCATCCAGAGGAAAGTTGTAATACGAGGCATTTCCAATGTACGAAGCACCCGTACTACACCGCACGTTCATCAAATAGTAAAAAGCAGGGATTTACCAATGCCACTGAATTTGAGGCAGTGTATAAGTACAAGTACAAATTAGACAGGCCGATGCCGTTACGTCTTTCAAGTGTGATGAAAATGTCTTATTTTAATCAAATATATTGATTAAAAAAAAACACAAACTCTTCTTAAACATGTTTCGCGGACTCAAATATATATTATATATTACGAGGCGAGTGCTCCGTATGAGTCAATAATGATAATTATGTCCTGGGTCATCCGTCAAGAGACTCCTGCCAGTGGGAAATGCTCGAAACACCTCACCAAGGAGGCATCCAGGGGGCGTCCTAATCAGATGCCCGAGGCGCCTCATCTGGCTCCTCTCGACGTGGAGGAGAAGCAGCTCGACTCTAAGGCCCTCCCGGATGACCGAGCTTCTCACCTTCTCTCTGAGGGAGTGCCCGGAACACCTTGTGGAGGAAACTGATTTCGACCGCTTGTATCCGAGATCTTTTCTTTCTGCCACAATCCATAGCTTGTGACCATAGGTGAGGGTGGGAACATTAATCGACTGGTAAATCGAGGGCTTAGTCTTTTGGCTCAGCTCCTTCTTCACCACGACAGACCGATAGAAAGTCCGCACCACAGCAGACGTTACACCGATCCGCCTGTTGAAATCCCGCTCCATCCTGCCCTCACTTGTGAACAAGGCCCAAGATACTATTGAGTTCGGGGACGGAGAGTATGCCCACACCTGCTCTGCGCCTCTCACCGTGGGCAACTCCAGAGTGGAAGAGAGTCCAACCCCCTCTCGAGAGAACTGGTACCAGAGCCCAGGCTGTGTGTGGAAGCAAATCCGACTATGTCAAGTCGGAACTGCTCTGCCTCGCACACCAGCTGAGGCTCCTTCGATGCAAGAGTGGTGACATTCCATGTCCCTAGCGCTCTCTTCTGGTCATTTATTTGAACTGAGCGTTCTGCGCGAGTTAGCTGCTTCTTCTTCGTTGGTTTGAATGCTACTATTTCGTATCTGGAAGAGGTTGTGTGCTGCCTGCAACACGTACAGTACCATAGTGGGGGTTTGCTTTCTAATTTTTTTCTACAGAACATTTTTATCGAAGGCATTTGCTATTTATATCCACCACGTTTCTATCACAATACATATTGATGTTGAATTATTGTCCAGCCCTAGCGTGTTGTCAATGTGACCTATGATTTTTTTCCCCCCCCGCAACAAATTGGCAGCTCTGTGGATGGATGGATGGATGGATGGATGGATGGATGGATGGATGGATGGGAGTACACTGGATCCCTCTCATCAATCTCTGGCATCTGTGTTGGGTGTTTGGAAGTGCTCATCCCTCCCCTCTCTGCTCAGCCGAGAATATAAAAAAAAAATAGAAAAACGGTGGCTGGCCTCTCTTCATTAACTTAAAACTGAGGAATTGTTTATTTCGAGAAGTCTCAAAACTGCAAGCAGCCAATCCTATCACAGCCGGACATGCCCTGCTTAGAAGTGCCAAGTACTACTGAATAAAGAAAAGCATATTACTCGTGACAGAGAGTTTTAGCGGTTATTGAAACCGTTACTTTTTAAAACCGAGATAAACCATCAAACCGTTACTCAATCCATGACAAGTCACTATTGACATTTTAACGTTCAACTGCATGTTTTTCTAATAGTCTCAACACACGAGGCGTTTCAGGTACAATGTTACAATGTGTCTCAGTCGGAATACTTTGTGCTTGATGTAAAAGGAGTGCATGGACAAGGACGAAAAGCACCAAGAGTCAAGTGGATATAAAGAAGTAGAAATATGGATGCCACGTTAGCGCTGTGTGTAAACGACTAAATAGCGAGGAAGAGGAAATATGAGACTGCTCTTGAAAATAACACAGCGCATTGCCCCTCCACTTAACCGAGTATGAGATGCCACATACAAAACAAAAGCACAAAACATGGCAATATCCTGCCGTGCTGGGTTCTATGTTAACCCTTTGAGGGTCAGCGCTTACTACAGTGGGCAGCTTATCATGTTATTAGGTTACAGGGTGCATGAAAGGGTTAAAAAAAACAAACAAGCTACAGTGGATAAAAGTTTGTTCTTCCGTTACAGCTCTAATATGGCTATTTTATTCCGCATCATAATTTGATCTGGAACCTCCATGAACAGAGAGGCTTCACTTTTTGTCAAGTGCCTGTTTTCTTAAACAGAACTCTTCAGGCACGACTCTGAACATGTGTCAGGATCGTACGGCTGGGCAGGAATGACTTACCTTTGTTGCAAATGCCGCAATAGTTGTGTGTTCCTTCGCTATGTTTCTTGAGGTGGTCCGTCATGTAGGCCGCTCGGAGGAACTTGCCGCAAACTTTGCAGGGAATTTTGTCCTCATGACATGCGAGGTGTGACCTGAGGCGATCTCTTGTAGCAAAAGAGGCGTTACAAATCTGCAACACACCAAACGAAAGGTCTACACTTAAGTGTTTCAAAACAATCGACTTATTCAATTCTGGTTGAAGTATTCTTCATATCACCTGGCACTTGTGGGGTCTCTCTGTTGTATGGACTTGTTTGATATGTCCGTTCAGGTGGTCTGGTCTGGAGGGTCAAAATATGTTATTTGTGTGTGTTCACAGAGACAAATGTAGGCATTTTCTCTCTCGTGCTATTGAAGTCAGCACAGCCAGCAGTTTTCTGGCCTCTGATCAGCAAAATTTAACGAGCAAAACACATCTTGAGCAATTTACATGGTTGAATATAATTATTAAACAGCAATGCTGGTATGTGATTTTCATGCTTTCATGTTTTATATCAACAGACGAGGCTGTTAAAGTCACTTTTTTTGCGGATTGGTATCAACAGACACCGAGTGCAGTCATTTATCGCAGTAAAAACCGAGGATAACTGAAAACAATATCAGTGGCTAAGCTAAAACATGGAGTGAAGCAGAGAGATGTACAAACAAATGACCTTGCTCCGCTTGCAGAGAGCACTAATCTATGATTCAAGATCTCAGCTTTGGTTCTTCTTTCTGTGGCTACCATTCAAAGTTTGAAATGAGAATAACGGAATGAATGAACACGAATGGAATTTGGAAAGGCTGGTGGGCCATTGCCTTTGAACTGCAATGGCACTCTGTGTCTGATGATACAAGTCTGCAAATAAGGAAATAAAGATTCATGTTCTTGTAACTTCTTTATTTTAATGCATTGTGCCACATGATGCATTCTGGAAACAAAAAAAGATGTTTTTTTTTTTCTTTTTTTTGCAGTTCACCCCAACTATTTATGAGGAATAGGCACCCTACCTTCCCGTGAATAGCACAAATCTGTGTAGAATTGATGCTTATTGAAATGCATTGGGTATTTTTTGTTACATTTTATTTCATGCATGATATATTTTTCAATTAATCATCCGATTAAGCAGTCATCATTTTTTTCTCCCAAAAGTTGCCATATCGGTCAGTGCCCAATAATAAATGATAATATAATATTAATAATAATCATGATCATCATGAATTTAGGGTTGCGTTCAGCATCAGCCATTTTTTTTTAATGAAAGGTCACAGCTAGAAATTACAACGCAGGGTAAAATCCGCATTGTGGAAACCTCTTAAGGTCAAAAGTAAACATTTACAGAAAAGTGGTCACTCCGGGACAGCTATTAACACGTTTTGCTTCTCCTATATGAATGAATCTGAAATAAATAAATAAATAAAAATTCTGATGTGGGTATCTTAATTTGTGAATAAAAGGGTTAAAGTAAAATACATCTCGAACATCTGATAGGTTTAAAAGAAAGTACACTTTTTTTTTTAAAACAGCGTCAAAAATACTGGTCACGTCGAGGACACATAGGGCCATCTGGGAATAAAATTTGCCGTTGATCACTGCAGATTTAAAAACCAAATGCACCGCCTGCAACCGCACACGTTGGTACCGATTTAGCTAACGTTGGGTGTTATAACGAGAAACGCGAATGTTTACATATAGGGCACTAAATCATAAGCTGCTGTCAAAACAAGATGACAGTTAACGTCTACGGGCAAAGACGTTTACGGTCTTGGCACCACACTCACAAAGCAAACCGATGAAGTTTGACTCACCTGGAAAACCCTTTGCCACAACTTTGGCACACGTACGGTTTGCCCACCGAGCCGTCGTGGGAACGCACGTGATAGGACATCCTGTCTTTGCGTTTGAAGCGCAGACCGCACACATGACACGCGTACGGCTTCTCCCCGGAGTGGGACAGCTTGTGTCGATTCAGATGGTACACGTCGCGGAACACCTTGCCGCAGATTTCACAGCCGACGTGCCGCCGGGTCCTCTCACGCTTGCGTCCGTGGTCCAGCATCAATCCCCCGTGGTACTGCGCCTCGTCCTCCTGGCCGATGAGAGTCAGGCCGCCCGGCATCGAGCGGCCGCCGATGTTGGCTCCATGTTGTGCTTCGTGGTTCTTCAGGCGGGAGGCTTCCGTAAAGGCTTTGCCGCAAGCGCCGCAAGGGTAGAGCACGATGTTTTTCTGCACGTTGTGATTGAAATGGACGGGCTCCTCTGAGGCGCCAGCCTTTTTGGGTCGCCCCCTGCCCCTCTTCGAAACGGCGTCGTGATGCAACGTTGTAGTTTCGGGCGACACTGGCAGCCCGTCGACGGGCTGCAGGATAGGCATCGATCCTTCGGCGGCTTCCTCCAGGAGCGCGGCGGCGGCGGCTGCGGCTTCGCTCCCATCCACCTGATGTCCATTGTTAGCAAAGCCTACCAGCGCCGTCCCGTTCACCAAATCCTGCTGTTGAGCCACCGGGAAGCCCAGTTCAGTCGACCCGGCGGCCTGGAAAAGGCTGGCGTTTCCTCCCCGCGAGGACGGGACGAGGATTTGCACATTGGATTGTTTGATGACCTCTTGGCAAATCTCGATGATCGAGCGCATCAGCAGAAATTTGGCAGCTGTCATCAACTCCGGGAAGCATTCGAGCCGCACTACAATCCTCGACGTGTACGCGAAGTCCAAGATGTCTTTGAAAACTTTGGGGCTGATGGTGTGCATCTCCAGCTCCCTGGCGTCGCCGTCCTCCGGCTGGCGGCCGAACACCGACTCGAAGTACTCGCTGCACGCTGCCAGCACCGCCTTGTGCGCGGGGAAGCTCTCCTCGCCGACGCGCAGGATCACGTCGCAGAACCTGCCTCCATCTTTCCTCTGGACGTCGAGGTTGTGTAGCATCTCCGCGCTGTGCTTGCTCACCTGGTAGGTGTAGGAAGAAGTCCAAGACGGCTCCGCTAGCTTCTCCATGCCGAATGCATCCAGCGGCGGGATCGGAGGAGAAAGGACAGAGTTTGCAATTTTGCAGTGGAGCTGCGGAGGACAGCTAGCTACTAAAAGCCCCCGAACCGACCGCTCCTCTCCGTCGTTGTAGCGCCTGTAACGTTTGGACGGTAGCATTAGCAGCAGGCTAAAGATGGCAGCCCCCCAGCTTCCTGTGCACTTTGACCCGAGTTTTTCGACGGGTGGGGGGGTCGCTCTTATTTGTTTATTAAGAAGGCCTTATCGCGCGCGTGGTTGCGTTTTGAGTCACTTAAGCAGCTCAATGAGGAGGATTAGAGGCTCGTCAGGGGTCTTTTTTTTAATCACGGTCGGCAGATACCTAATGCGCAGGTCTCCTCTTCCTGTTTGTGTGACAGACCCCTCCCCCACAGAGCGTCGACCTCAAAGGCTTTTCCGCTCGGCAATCGACGTGTTGCCCTGAGTAGCATCGTGGTACTCGCTCGGCTCCAGGTGACGCCGATTTGACGTCACGAATCCACAGTGACCTGTCAGTTTAAAGCAATAATCATTTTAGCAAACCAAAATAAAATTCACGGTCAATGGCGACGCAACACTTCAATAATTATTAAGATGTTAATTGTTTCATCCCGTTTAAGGTAGACAAAGACCATTGCACACGACGACATGGCAAGCAAAGTCAGTATATGTTGGGCACACTAGACTAATAACTTGTCTGCTGTTGCTTCATTTTTAAAAGGTTGACCAGTCTTTTTTTTTTATGGTCGACAATAATCGGTTGTGTCACATTTAAGGTAAACCCAGTGCATATTTCCTTGGTCCATTAACTTGGACCACCACAACTGTTCTGGATTGTTCACAGATTTCTGACATCATGTGATGTTTCGTTTTTTTCTATGGGGAGGTAAACACCCATAAAAAATATTTGGGCTATCGATTTAATATTTTCAGAGGTTGAAGTGGGCATGAGGTTTGATGCGTACATACATTTGGTGATGATTGATTGTTTTTGGAGATTTTTTTTTTTTACATTAAGCACTTTTGACTGTTCCACAGTACTAACCTAACTAGCATCAACATTTTGCAGCAAACCAGCCCACCAGCAGCCTTTAAGATGCAATTATGGAATAGGAATATAATTTAGCCCCTGACAAAAATCAAATTGTCTTTTGGAATAGTCATCTTGGAATAGTACAGTTGCAATCTGTTCAATTTCCTGACAATACAATGATCTTGATCCAAGAATTTCACATTCAAGCCAATTCCGTTTATAAAATGTGACATTTCACTTAAACATATCTGGCAGGATTTTAACCATTTAAATGACTGACATGCAGAGAGATGTTTAAAATGTCAGACCACTCATACATATTTGTAAATTTAACTGACAATTCGTGGGACAAAAAGTAAACCATACAAAAACACTTAAACATGCCATACCGTTTGTCACAATTTTTATTCATTCTATCTGTGCTTTATAACTTAATCGCACAAAAAACTGAATCCAGACACCTCCAGAAATTTCAAGACTGCCTCCTCTTGTGGCAGTTTGGATAGTCGAGGATACAGTTCAAAAAGGAAAACAAAACAAATACACAGAAGGCACAACCAGCAGTCCCTTGGAGTAGTCTTGAAATGATCCTGCTCGCCACAACTATCGAACTGAGCCACCAGCAAGGGAAGAGTAGACGACAAACCTCCCCATCCATTGCTTGCGGTAACTCTCAGTGCAGTTCACGAGGAAAACCAGTCTACAAGAAGGAGTGCTACGAGCTCTTAGTGACTGTCTAACAGCATTTAAACGTCATAGTTTCACTTCCCCTATACCTAGAAAAAGAAACCATTGCTATATACATGGGGACTAAGATTAGTTCCCATCATCTGTACAATCGTGAATATACATAACTTACTCCAAAATGTACTACTAGTCCAATACAAAAAGAGGGACAAAAAATGAAAGGGGGAAAAAAAACCACCAAAGAAAAACATAGCTGCAGTAACATCTCCATTGCCTGGCTACTTTTCTTTAAGAGCTTTGACTTAAAGGTTGAAGTCAAGAAAACTGTCCAGGTGTGTGCTGTGGCTTCAAATTAAAGTTCACATTTAAATGCATCGATCAGTGAGAGAAGGGGAAAATATATTTCATAGTCCAGCTCAGAATCAAGTTCCTCAGGGCCGGAACTCCAACTCATCTACACTAATGACCTTGGCCGGCATGGAGGGCAGTTGCTGTTCCAGCACATCGGATCCAAACCACTTGGCCAGGCCTGGAGGGGGACTTGTGTGTCGCTGGGGGCCATTCGTCCGATGGGGTCCTTGGTTCTGAGACTGTGGCCCTGGGATGCTCTGATTTACTGCAAGAGGAGAAGAAACTTCAAACAAATGCTCAAATGATAAGAACACAATGGATGATGAATAAAAGAAAACGACAGCGAGTCACTGGCATTTAGGTGAGTGCTCGTACGTTAGAAAACTCATGTACTATAATAACCGTGTAGCCAGACTTCAAAGTAGCAGATTTGCCAGCCCTCACCAATTCCCGGAAGACCCAGAAGGCAGAAATCAATACTCAACTCCTGACATTAGGTACATAAGAGAGCCTTCTGATTTCAAAATGACAAATGAAACCTTCATTAGCTGCATGAGTCTGTGTGTTCTCTTTCCACATTGTGCAAGCACGCACACCATGCATCTCATTCCCATATATTGTAAATTGTGCACACTACAGACAAGTCCGTGCTTCCTTTACGCAGTAAACAAAAACAAAGAAGTCTAGATCACACTGCTTCATGCACAAGGATGCAACATACATTCTGTGGCGAGCGAACACCAACGCATGAGGATGGATGCATGGTTTTGAAATCTGAAGGATCTATTATGTCAGTGCAAGCAGCGTGGTTTTGGTTCCCACTTAAAAGGACCGTGTGAATGTGAGTAAATGCATTTCTGTCTTCATGTGTGCCCTGCAATTGATGAATAGTCCACCTTTTGCCAAAAGTCCGCTGGAATAGGCTCTAGCCTCCCTGAAGAGAAAAGGTATAGAAAATTGAGTGATTTAACTTAAAGATGTTCATAAGGTTAGGATGAACCCATTTTGAAAAATGGTGCACATCAGCTCTTCCTTAGTTGACTTTGGTGATGTAAACAATTTGATTTGTCAGACAATTACATTTTCAAGCCACAAAAATACATTTGTTCAGTGGCTTAATTCTCCATTATAAGTTTTCTAGTCAGCCAGTTAGTATTGAATTATTGTTCCAAATGAATTGGTCGACGCATGTTTGAATAGCGTGCTCTGTTTAAAAGTCTTGCCAATGTGGCCTTTATTCTCTTAACTTGAATGACTAGCATGTTCTTGTGAGTGAGTCTCTCTTAAGATGGCCGCAATGTATCACAATGTTGGATTTTACTCACTTTGTCTCTGCTGCTGAAGTTGCTGCTGCATTACTGCCAGCTGCATGTGATTGTTTGCTCTGGGAGGTAGAAGCGGATGCCCTCCCGTTGCACTGAGAGGGTACAGGGTTTGGCCCAGTATTGTAGGGGGCAAGCCTTGAAGTTGCGCAAGTTCAACATGTGGCGGATATATTCCTGAGAATGACAAGGATGCTCAGACTTGTTCAAATAATGAGGCGCAGCATCCGCTACATTTTAAAGGAGAGCTTATATAGCAAGTTAAGTAATAAAAGAATGGCCTGGGCAAACCGTTACCTGCTTGGACCAATGCTGGGGCAAGCTGCTGGGGTTGGATTCCCTGTGCCAGCATTCGTTGAACCACACTGGGGTGGAGCTGAGGAGGCGGGCGCACTATTGGTACGTGGGATAGCAGCGGTACCGGGTAGATGGAACGCGGGAACGTTGAGGATGGTCCTGGTGGTGCCGTGGTGGGTGTGTGATGTCCGGTAGAAAGTGGCCTGAGTCGCTCTTGGTCTTTGCTCGGCAAGGTCTGTGAGAAGGGCTTTACCCCACCTGACTGGGCACCATTGCCTTCAGTTGCTTCCAGGTGTAAACTGGGGGAATTGTTCTCTGAAATCATAAGATCAATCAATTTCAATGTAGGTATCACCAATTCAGACTAAATGCAAAAGAAGGATCTGTACCATCTTGAGAGTGCGCTGCTGTCTCCTCTTTGGACTCGAATCGGCTTGACGGATCATCTTTGCTTTTCTCTTTTGTTGCATACATTTTACGGATTACTGATGTAGGTGTAAATGATGGAGACAACTGTTATAAGAAAAAAAAAAAAAGCTGTTTTGCATCTATGGGACAAAATTTTGGGGCAGATAAATCTTATGCTTACCATACTGGTGACAGTGCTTCCTGGTGAGTTTCTTCCAGCAGTCTGGGAGCCTGGACCAGGGGAGCGGTTAACACGCTGTGGACTAAAACAAGGACACCACATCTAAGCAAGGAAGTAAAACTTACCTAGCCTTTCACTTCGTTGGTTAAATGATACACACAATTTAGTTACGAATATGAACACATTACACCGCCCACTTGTATGCAGAGCAGAGGTGCCTTGACTTGCAAGTTTAAACAATTTTTTTGGCTAACATGTTTTTACTATCAGCGGGGCACTCCTATGGAGCAGGCTTAAAGGGAGTGCCTGGTCGACGGGCCGCTACCCATAGGGTAATGTGGGTCACTCAAGACAAGCTGGAGAGACCGTCTCCCGGCTGACCTGGGAACACCGACAGACCCCCCCCAGAACAGCTGGATGAAGTGCTGAGCTTCCCTGCTAAGGCAGGTGCCCCCGTGACCCAACCCCGGATAAGTGGAAAGAATGGATTGATGTTTTTCACAATCCTGGTGTGTTCAAGTTGAGAACTGGGGGGCAGAATAGCACATACAGTCAACTCAACTAAGTTGCTATACATATACATATATATTGTTTTGCGGAGGAAATACCAGAGTATTCTTGAATACTATGCCTGCATACGTTGCTACCACTTGTGTTCTAATGTTAAACTGTTTATAATTACCGCAACATTTGTGCTTGTTTCATTAGCTCGTCTACAGCAATTTGAATAGTATGCTAGCATTTAGCTAGTGACCTTTTGTAAGACAGTTAATTTTCTTTTGTTAAATGCGTATAATTGTTTTATATTTAAAGTAAACTTCAACTTAAGTGGCAATGAACTGCTTGGAGCAAAGAATTGGCCTAATTTTTCTATAATTATTTGCTATCTGCCAAAGTGCTGCTCCAGAAGTTTACTGAGCTTGAGTTTGGTCATTCAGAAATTGAGATACCGCAGCATTTAGTATTTAAGCTTAATCGTGCTGGGGGTTGGGGGGGGGGGGCAACAAAACAAAACCCTCACTCACCGATTCCGAAAAGATTTGTCCTGTGGCAGCCTGTTGTAGCCAGATGGGAATTGGTGATGGCCATGCAGTGCAAGATCCTGTTGAAATGCTAGTGCTTCAAGATCTGCATGATTCACTGGCATTGAGAGCATCCTCATCTGGCAAAAAGTAAAACAAGTTGAATGATCATGAATGTAATGTGATTGATTCCTTTCATTCCGCAAAAGAACAAATTAAACAACAACAAAAAAAAATATGGTCAGGGACTACATCCATGAAACAAACTGTACACAATGTAATTTACGATACAGCAATCAATTCCTCCACTAAGGAAAAATTCATGCTACCTGATGCTGGGCTGCAGATGCCGGGCTGATCGACCTGTGCATGTCAGCATATTGATCAGGCATCATGGGCTGAGCACCAACAGGAAAGCCTTGCGATAACATGAGGAAGACCCAAAAAGTACCCATCAACAGTTTTGTTCTGAGGGTATCTCCCAAAAATTACCTGGAACACTGTAGTAGTTAAGTTGTCTACAAGTCTAAAATGTATGCACTTATTATCACCCCAAAAGGGAATATTAAAAACAAATATTCACAACACAGGATGCCCCCCCCCCATAC